GGAACAAATTAGAAGAAACTTCCCTGAAGTATTAACTCTTCTTAATTCAATATAACACCAATGCAAACAAAATGCAAAAAAACCAAGCATTGATACCACCAAGAAAGTTGACATGCCAAAACTAAATGCATAGACATAGATAAAGTGATACTTCACCCAGCCCACCAAATATCAGAGAACGCATACCTTTCTTCCTGGGACATTCCAGAGTGGATGCAAATAGAGGGGAAATTACACTCCACCAGTAACTTGTTGAGCTCAGCTGCTCTGCTCACACTTTTAACAAAAATGACTACTTGGTTGAAATCCAAGGCATCAAGGAGGTCATTCAACTTGCGATTTTTCTCTAACTCACTCAATTTAATATAATGCTGCATAGGTAAACAAAATTACGGATTGAGTGCATCTTTCCCGTTTCTATTAGTAAGGCTGTCAAAAGGCTTTCTGAGAGTAGTGAATCCAGTGAAAGCCGAAGACTAAGAAGAAAGTACAAAAGGCAAAGCATAAAACAGTGAGACTATATAGGAATCGCAGAGGTCAGGTCAGTGGAAAGAGTTGGGGAAAACAACAATCCAATTCCCCTTGTTTGGATGCTAAGAAAACAATGGGAAAGGAAAGGAAGGAGTACATTACAGACAGTTAAGGAGTGGAAAAAAAATGGCAACTTATTATTCTACTACCATGTCCTTTATATATCAAATGGAAATGTTAAATAAAGGGTAACATTCTCTTTCCAATCAAAAATTCTCAAACAGGAACCTTCCTTTGCAAATCCTCCTAATTTGAAGGTTTTAAAGGGATACATCCAAAGCCCTCCCTGTCCATAGAAAATTATTGAAGCAAAAGAGAGAAGCTCATCTCCATCTCCTTTACCTTCTCTTCCTTCAAATTCAAACAAAGCCTATACAAAAGCAGTGGCTTAGCTGTATGCATACCTGTACCAGACCATGAAGAGTCAACTTGGCTTCATCATCAACATAAATTTCCATTGGCTGCAGCAAAAAAAAAATCACAAATTCGGATTATCTTTCTACCACAACCCAGCACCAGCAGCAAAAACCAAGCAACCACTAATATAAGACTTCAATCCTTTAAATGAGAAAGTAGAATTTAGGAAAAAAAATTTCAAAAGACCAACAGCTATCTAGCAAGAAGTTATTTAATGTACTGTAAAATTAATAGAAGCAATTCAAGCTCCAAAATTATGATATCCCTGCCATTGACAAGAGGTACATACCAGAACAACATATTACCCACATAAAGTAAGAGTATCAAAAATGACACAATGGGATCCAAAATTACAAAAGAAGTGGAGTACTTACATCTTGCATAAATTTTTTGCACACAGGTCGAATTTCCTTGCTAAGTGTAGCTGAAAACATCATAACTTGCTTATCATGTGGGGTCATCTTGAAGATCTCTTGCACATCTCTCCTCATGTCTGTACAATCAAAAAAAAATGATGATGATGGACAATAAAATAAAAGAAGTGCCAGATAAAAAGTACATCTTCAGCAGATTTATGGAGATTTGCAAGCATACCAAGTGACTCAAGCATCTTGTCACATTCATCAAGTATAAAATGCCTCACGTTCTTCAAACTAAGATCTTTTTCCCTAGCAAGAGCCAATATCCTTCCAGGTGTTCCAACAACAATATGGGGACATTCATTCTTTAGCAAATCCTTGTGAACCTTGATATTGACACCACCATAGAAGACAGAAACTTTAATATCTGGCAGATAAGTACTGAACCTCTCAAACTCGTGGCATATCTGTCAAAACACAGTGAATATCTTAATAAAAAGGAACCCGAAGATGAAAATTGTTTGGCACTACAACACCTCAACTGGCATGCTAATTTCAATCAACAAATACAAGTCTCTAAAACATACCTGGTAAGCTAATTCTCTTGTATGGCATAGAACAAGAGCAGCAACTTGACCAGCAACTGGCTCGATTTGCTGAAGAGTTGATAGAACAAAAACAGCTGTCTTCCCCATCCCAGATTTTGCTTGGCAAATGACATCCATTCCCAGAATTGCTTGAGGGATGCACTCATGTTGAACTGGTGAAGAAGCAAATAAAATTGCAGTGGACGAACCCTCAGTAAATTATAATTGTTCTTCCAGATCCTTTAATGGAAAGGTTACCAAACTAGTTTTCTTGTCCAAATGATGTATATAGAAGTAGTGATTACCTGAATAATAAAATCTTGAACAAGTTAGAAACCAAGAACAAGCATGCCCAGAATGAATGAATCAGGCAAAGTAGATGAAACTTGATTGCTAAATAACTAGAGCAAGCTTTATATTCAGCCATAAACAAATCCAAATAAACTTAACATAAATTAATTATTAAGGATAATTTAAAAACCCAATTACTTAAAAAAGAGTTCAAATGAACCATAGAAAACAAGATAGAACAACGAAAAAAAAAGAGTAAAGCTATGATAAATTTTAAGATTCACAAGCAAGAATAAATTAAACTCAGCCTAAGACAAAGTGATAAATCAAAATAGGCAAAGTAAACTGATATGAGGTTGCACAAATATTGCTTCACGGAAAACTATTACAAATTTAATACAAATGATATCCTGTAACAATAAATATTTCATCCAAAAGCAGTCTCTAGAAGAGTAAATGAAAATAATACATCAAACTCATATACACCATTCTAAGTCACTGAAAGCAAGAAAAACAACATGACATAAATTCAAGGAATTCACAAATGTTAAAGCAAGACATGAGTTTAAAACTTTGCCTTCAGATGGATGTTCAAATCCAGAATCCACAATAGAGCGAAGCAGCTCTGGTTTCAACAGGAAGTCTCTGAATCCCGAACTGTGAATTCCAACATACCCCCTACACCACATAAAAAACCAAGAAACAAATTAAAATTAGACCCAGCACAAGAACAGGAAAACAACCAAACTGTTTACAGAGCAAAATCAAAAAGTACATACTATTTACAGAGCAAAACCAAAAATTACATCTATATGCACATGGCATCAAGAGTATTACAAAATAAATTTCAACTACAAGTCAAAAATGAAATCACTTAATCACCTTCACAATATAAAAAACAACATGCCCACTTAATCCACATTTTCTGTTGAAACAAAATGACATATACATAAAGCAATTGAAGCAAAATAACAACTACGAAGAGCTACGCTTTGACCAAATTCTATATACTTAATTAGATAAGGTATATAATCAACCATATTACCTAAAATGAGATTTACAAAATATATACACACAGCATTGTACAGTAAAAAAGCATGTTACACTCAAAATATTATTCAAAAAACTCTATGTATAAAGTAAAAAAGACTAACTTCTTGGCAGAATCAGCGGCCTTAGCGGAGACCGAGTCAAGGGCTTTTTCATCCTCTTCTTCGTAGTCCAGAAGCTCTTCCTCGTAGGCGTCGTTGTCCTTTATTTCACCCATCCTTTTCAACCAAAATAATATAAAATAAAAATCTAACTTTATTTGCGAATTCAGAGTTAGGGTTTATCAAAAATTTTCAGCAATTGAAACACTAAAAAATAAGAAAAAAAAATGTTGAAGAACTCTTACCTTCCAGCTTCGAACAAAAATGGGTTTTGTTCTTCCTCTTTAGGTTTGGGAATGTAGAAAAAAAAAGGAAAAAAATTTGAAAAAAATTAAAGAGGGACAGGGAGAGAGGGAAAGAGAATTGAAAAGAGAGAGGGAGATGCTGAAATAAAACCCTGGATCTAGGGTTTGAAAAGAAAGAGGAGGTGATATTACAAAATGAAGAAAATAAATTGTGAATGACGGAATTGGCCTCACTATGTTGCAAGTACATGACTATGGAGGGGGAATTATGAAAGACATTATATATAATTTTTGATATAATATTTTTTAAAAAATAAATTATTTTAAAAAATTTAAATAAAGTCATTATATTTTAATTATATTTAATTAAGTTTTTATATTTTTTATTTTGAGTTAAATAAATTTTTATATTTTTATTTTAAATTAAATAAATTTAAAAATTAATTTAATAAAAATATCATTTGTCGTTTTATATCATATAGCACTAATATAGTATGTTAAGATATTATAATTGTTGATAATATGACAAGTTCAATGTATTATAATTAATGATGATATGACATATTAATTTGATATCATAACGTGATTATATGATATTTTTCACCTTTTACATTAAAATTATGTCAATATCATATAGATATAAATGATAATAAACATTTTAGCTAATCATGATTAATTAATCATTAATAATAAAAATTAATTTAACTTAAAATAAAAATTTAAAAGCTTGATTTAACGTGATAAAAATATAAAAACATAATTAAATTTTCTTAATTGAATGATCATTAGTCTATTTTCGAATGGTTACTCTCGAACAATTAACTTTGTCCGACATTTATGTTTATAAGCTTAAAATTCACCCCTTACCTATTTGAAATGTTGGGTACCCTACCTATTCCACTCACCGTAATGTTTATCATGATTGGTTTTGCCATTGCAAATTATTAATACAAAATCCGTAATATCATTACACTAATTCTTTCTTTCATAATAAAAAAAAAACTTATCTTAATGCAAACCTGTCAATATCTCTAAGAGGAGATTCTATATAAGTGAAAAATTAAATAGATTTGAATATCATTATTAAGAATTCATATTTTTAATTTAAAAAATATATTTTATTAAATAAAAGAAATTTTCATTTATATTTTTAAAATTCATTTATTTTTTATTGACACAGAACCGTTCTCCATATTCATCTATACCCAATTTCCAAGATGGTATGAAACACAGGTGTGTTCCAGACAACCTGGTGCATTTGTCATTGTCAATTTCATTAGCTTTTCGGTCTTTTAAGAAGACCTCCGATTTTGCCCAACAGAGAGGCTGCAAGCACTTGAAAGCAATAAATATTCAGTTAGCTCTGTACATACATGGCTTGTATAGAATCTAGCCTCTTTCTTTTAGGATAAACCCTCCTTTACCAAAAAAATACAGTCATTAACAAGGATTATTATTTCTCCAAAATATGTTTCAAATCTCTGACAGACCTGAATACGTTAACAAGAAATCACAGCAGCAAAACACCCCAAAGTGACTCGATAACATCAGCAAGAACCCCATTTGTTTACATTGTTCATGAGGATGCAGAAGCCCCTCCATTACACAGATTGAAGCCATACCAAACCCCATAAGGAATAAAAGTGTTGTAATTAAATGTGACAGACTTGGTATAGTAGCCATAGACAGTCACACTCTCTGGTTTCCATCCATCATTTCCACTCCTGTAGAGGTACAGATAGCAAACTTGGTACGTGCAGGGGCCCTTTATTTGAAATGTATCAGTAGAACACCTCTCAAATGTCCTTGAAGATGGATCATCCAGCCTTGGTGCATAAACCTGATAATCCAAAACAAGATTTCATTTCACAAAACGCCCTTGTACTAATTTCATGATTCTCCTACAAAAGGGTCTAAGTAATCGCCATGCCAATGTTCAAATCTGAATCATCAAGGACAACTTATGGATATGTGTGCCTTAAGCATGTTAATGATCATGGACACCATACCTGATTGCCAGAAGCATCACCAAACGCAAGACTGATCTGATCTCGTGTATAGGAGGTCGACGAACAGCTTGTCCTTATTGACACTGTGTAAGAGCAGCTCCCCGCATTCTATGAATAAAGCAATGTAAAATAGTTAAAAATAAAACGATTCCAAACAGTACACCATGAAAACTGACACTGTTTGTCTTTTCCCTCATACAGTTTTTGCTTTGGGAAGATTTCCTGGAAATTTCATAAACAGGCAAATTTGTAACATTGAAGATTCCTGGCAAGATTTTGCTCATAAGAAACTCTCACTAAGGAACAATCTTCTGCTCAAAGACGTTTGCAGGCATGGGGGTGGATGTCAATTTTCAACACATATGTGCGGAATCAGTCTGAAAAGAAGTAGAAAAAGTGGGAATCAAACATACCTGGGTAGCATTGATCTTGAAAGATTTGACAGGCTGAGGCAGAGGCAGAGGCAGAGGCAGTGGAAGTATTCTCTTAGCATCTGCTACGGTGAAGAAGATGAAAGTCAAGGGGAGCAAAAGGGTCACTGCTCTGATCATCTTCACTAAGACACCTGGAAGAGGCAAATCTGATATCTATGAGGCTAACAAGTCCTATCGAATATATAGTACTAGCCACTTGGAAAGCTTTTCCACTAAGGAAGGGTAGAGAAGTCTTTTAAGGCTAGAAGAATAATGATAACAAGATGCCATGATTCCATACTTCTAATTGACCTTCATTCAATAATCCACCTATTGTCTCTTTTTTGCCCTCCGTCCTCTGCCATTGGTTTTGGTTAACCTAACTCGCCGAGTTGGATAGGACAAGACTATTTATGAAGAAAGTTCCAAAAAAGACAATAACAGATAGAGCCCATCTCATTCATTTGCCTATATTTCATTTCCTAAAATATATTAATTACTGCCCAATTTCAAGTTTGTCTTATTGATAAATATATTTCCAAGACATTTTTTCTTGTTTCACTTGATTAATCAAGTAATTAACGAGTTCAGATATTGAACAAGTAATGCTTAAAATATTATGATACAAATATAAATAACATTTTCAAATTTTATCCGAATAATTATAAAATTTGAGTTCCCTATCAGTTAATGAAATTTGGAATAAGAAATTTTAAAAATATGATGAAATACCCCAATGGTTGACATCCTTAATTGTCTTCAATTCTGGCTGATTCAGAATAGATTCAGTGCATAGAAACCAAGAGTTGAAAAGGCAACCAATTTTATCATTAAGGTTACCAAGTTTATAATTAAATCCTTTGAAAACAGTTCCATTTCTTCAATGGATAATAGAAACTTGTTGCAGTATAAAGAAGCATAATCTTTTCCAAGAGTTTGTGCACCACAAAGATTCTTTAGCATTAGGCTGACCATATACAATATGAATTGCAGCTCAACTCTGAGGATAAACTGAACAACAAAATGTCCCTGGCTCATTTTCTCTCTCTTGTTTTCCCAATAATGAAGCAAGAAATTAAAAAGTATATGGAGGCATGAATAACAAATAAAAGGCATATATAAAGAAGAAAAAAAGAACAACATTCAAGAAAAGAAAGGACTAGGGGTATTTGAAAACTTCAAGAGCAGTTAATTCAATGCAGAAATCAGGCTCTAAAAGCACTGCAAAAGTTACAAAGTCACTAGCAACACTTGTTTTGTTCCAACTTGTAAAACCAAAGGCTGAGAGGCAGGGTTTAACATTGCCCTTCTTCGTTCTCACCTGCTCATCATCCATCCAACATCACCAGATTCTAAATCGAAAACTCCTAATTTAGATCATCTGAATTCAAGAAAGTACAATAAAACCTATAACATGATTTAACTTGACAAAGGTTCTGGACCAGTTTGTAACTCTTTACTATGGGTGGAGGAAACAGGAATGCAAGCAACTTCTTCTGAGCGAAAGGCTAACTGAAGAAAGTGGAAGAGAGAACAAAAGTATTACCAGAAATATTCTTTCAATGGTTAGCATGTCCTTTTATGATTCAATCTATCAGCCAGAAGTCATGAATCAAATATATAGAACCAATGAAACTTTTGACTTTTGACCTACAACTGAACCAGGCTAGACAACTTCTAAGCAGTATTCTCATCAATCAGAAGACTATCAATCATGTATCCTTAATGTTACTCATTTAAGGTTCAAAACATAAAGAGATGGTAACTAGTGGCTCTTGTTAAAAGCCAACTTACTCTTTCTACCGAGCATGATGTTCTATTTCCCTATCAAAGATCAGCTCAAAATTGATGAAAATCTACCATTATATTATCCCAAAGAAAGAAAGAAAGAAAGAAAGAAAATTATATCTACCATATCACATCCAAGTGAACAGACAAGCAATAGCAAATAGCTCCAATGAAAAATATATTCAACTCAGACTATAAATAACATTCATGGATGACAAAATTTTGGCTTTCACTCAAATTCAGCGAAATCATATCAGAAAATTTGAAAGAGGACACAGTCAAACTAAAAATCCAACCATTTCTTGTAGTAAACACAGGTTTTGGGAGAGATTATGCCATCAGGTGTACAATGACTTATATGTGGACAAACTCCACAAGGAATGGAAGCCATAGTTCCTACCTTTGGTTCCCCTCCATAACCTCTCTTACCAATGCATTTATAACAAACTTTCCCAACCGGAATTGAAGCAAACTCCCCGGTTCCACTGCTTCTCACTTCCATAACCTCATTATCCAAAACCAAAGCCTTCACAATCTCTTCAATCTGCTGTTTTGACAACTCAATTTGCGAAACATTACTCCTCTTAATAGCATCCGTGACCCCTTCCAAAGTAGCAACCTTCAAACCATAGATCTTCCTCCAACATTGCTCTTTCAAAACATTTATATACTCCGTATCCAGGCTCCCTTCTACATACCATGCCCCACCAGTTATTTCATTTGAAGGCTCAAACTCTGCAGAAATAAAATGCTTCCTACCACGGTTTTGGATGTTTTTGACTTCTTTTATGAGATTCTTGGCTAGAAGTGACTTAAGACATTTGGTAACTAGGTTGTCAGGGAGGTTAATTTCGCGTTTCATGTCTCGTTGGGAGATTCCCATGTCTTGTTTACCTTGGATTACATCATGAACAATTCGTTCGTGCTCTGTAAGAGAATCAGAAGTGGCACCCGGGCGTTTCCTCTTAAGTGCATTTGGCCCTTGTAATCGACTCATTCTGATATAACAGAAATAAAAGAAAACAAAAAAAATTAAGAAAACTAGCGTGTAACATGTGCTATGCTCAATTGTTTATTCTGGATTTGCTAAAGTATCAAAAGCTAATGGAAAAGAAATTAAATTAATTTGTTTAAATTAGCAAAGTAAAAATGTTGATCTAATATATCTATATACGTGAATATAATAGTTTAAGCCATTGCATAAAGTTAATTTACATTAACCATAAGGGAAATGTTTGAAGAACAAAAGGAAAATATAAGTAAAGAAGCATTAAATGAATTTGGATTTTTTTTTATTTAGGGAAGGTGGATTCTAACTCTGCTCTTTGAGCAGAGACATCATGCACCCACCACTAAGCCAAATGCTTGGGTGCAACACAGATTTAGATTATACTACTATAAGAGTTTCCAAAAATCAGAAACTCATGATTATGATGGAAAATCAAACAAATCTATAAGAAGAACATATTTGATATACTTCAAAAGGGACATCAAAATAGCAAGCATTTTTACAGAGTTCATGTCGAGAAGGTTTGCATCACTTTAACTAGTAGAGCTATAGGAGGCTTAATCAGTCCATAAAAAGTGTCAAAAGAAGTGCTCATAGCTAACAACCTTTGCATATTTATCTCATTCCATAGAAAATCAAATGTCTGAAACACAATGATTTCTTAAATGTCAAACACCACAGAAAACCAAATGAAGAGAGCAAGAAACACACTGATTTGGTAAATGTTAAGAAGTACAAACTATAAAGAAAAGAAAAAGGTGAATAAGACAATACATTCACAGCCACAACAACAGTTACCTGCAGGCTGCAGTTTCCTATATCACAAAGCTCTAAAGGAAACAAAGAAAGTTGTTAGAGTTTTTACTTTTAGAATGTCTAGAATAAGAAACAAATAAGATCAAAGTTCTAGTTTCCGGCACATACAAGCATTGTCCATCAAAGAGGATTTCTTTTCCCATTTTATGCAGCTTAAACGTCTAAACAAATCAAATTGTTTAATTTAACAATGAAGACACTCTGAAAATTTACCTGTAGCTCAATTGACCAGGCAAACTGATCAATATCTGTCAAAAAAAGAAAGAACCAAGAAATAACATGAAAAAAGTGTCTCTATCCAAAATCAAAATAGGATTAAAACATTATTTTACAAATAAAAATATTGGAATTAAACATAAAATCCAGCTGAAAAATGAAAAAGATAAACTTCATGCTGAAAAATCCAAAAAATAGAGCACTTTGATGTAATTCAACATTATAAAGTACATCTCCCAAATCAAACTTGCAAATATATCATCAAAAGGCACCCTAAAGTAATGATCAAACCACCTTTTCACACAACAAAACCAATCGGCAATGGTGAAATCGGGGACTGGGGCGGCTGAAAAATCGTGCTCCCCCCACCCCTCCCCCTCATGCCTCCACCCCTTCCTCTCCTCCCTCCCTATGCCGCCACCCCTTCCTCCCTCATCCCTCGTCTCTAACCTTTCTTCCTCTGTCCTCTCCAAAAACACTTCCCGGCTTCTCTTTCTCGTCTTTAGCCCCCTTTAGTCTATAATTAATCAATTTCTTTCCCTGAAATTTTCTCTTCTCCCTAAACAACCCAAACCATAATTTCTATGGAAATTTCATATTTAAAGCGAGAAATTGATAGGAAAAAACCAGTAGGATGATAACTCACCCGGGAAAATCAATAGCAAGAGATTGACAAAGTGCAGCGCTGACACACAACTTTCTTTTTTTTTTTTTCCCTAATTTTAGTCTCAGTTTATTTTTTGTTTGCAGTTTTACCCTCGGAGTTAATATCTTGTAAATTAACGAAGAAAACGCCTATTTTGTTGTAAATGATATGATTTTGTGAATCAAAATGTTAACAAATAACACACAATTAACAAAAATAAGATACTAATATGAAAAAAATAAAGGATATTATTAGTTAACTTGAATTTTATATGAAGGTCAATAAGTAAGGCATTTCTTATTTTTTAAATATTTTAGTCTTAATCTTATTATTTGATAGAGTGCTTAAATTTTATAAATATTGGATTAATTTTTTAAATTGTTACTCTTATCCGCATATGAATATCCTAAATACTATTCATTAAATACTTGTATTCTTTAAATATTTAATTAAATAAATTTTAAATTATTATACATATATATTACAATGAAAATTAAATTAATTTTATAAAAAAATAAATTAAAATTTAAAATCATATTTAAAATAATTAATTAATTTTAGAAAATGCTGCATTAATTGTAAAAAATTTATAAATAATATATATATGAATAAAATTGAATGTCAAAAATAATTATTTATAATCGAATTTGAAGAGTGAATATCTTAAAATTACTCCCGAAACCCATAATAAGTAATGGTTTTATTTTTTGAACCTGATCATACGGTGTCATAATCGTACTAAATTGGGTTGAGTAATGAAAAATAACCGATTATAAGATATCTATTGACATTCTTAATTATGAGATAAAAAAATAATTTTTGACTTAAATAGTGTGTTTTCTTTAATCAAATAATAATATTAAAATAACCCTTTATAAAAGTTATTATTTAGGCATGATTTACATTTGAAAGCCCATATTTTTAGCTTGAGTGGTTCAATGAGTTTAAGCTTCTTACATCTTTCCAATTAATTTGACTTTCTTTAAGCAATGTTCGTATTCTTACATTTGCCAGTCCCATTCGTTTCTTAACTCAAAAGGCGTTTTGGGGATTTGTTTCAGCATGGTATTGATGATGGTTAATAGAAACCATATGAACATTAGAAGAAAGATTGGGTTTAGGGTTTGATGCTTTATAAGAACATACAGTTCAATGATGAACTAGGAAGATTAACAGGGCAATGGAGCACCACACCCTCTCCTCTCTTTAGGGAAAAACTGTGTACAATTGTATGTGTAAGCTATGGCATATGCACCAAAAAACGAAACCAAATATGGAAAGAGGAGCATTTCCAAATCCAAAACAAAAGTAAAAAGGAAAAGACAACTATATATTGACTTGTCTTCAATCGGATTGGCCTTTAAGGGTCACTGGGGGGAGAGAGTCTGCCAAGGATTGCTTCACATCCCCTGATAAGATTGTAAAGCAAATCAGTGGAGAAGAATGGCTGCTGCAGAACCCTTGGCATGTAGGGTGAGTAAACAGAAGCACCTGCCTTCTTCTTGTGCTTCTTCACAATCTTGACCAAGCCTGTTGAGCTTAATTGCAGTAAGAAGCAAGAGATATGATTTAGAATAGTATTGAACCCGATTAAAAAAGGGTATACCTGTAAAGTTAGTGACACTGAAATGCAGTAGCATCACCATCTCTGCATGAAAATCCAAAATATCCTTCAGCAATTCCAGATTTTCTTCATCACCGTTCAAGTTTTCAGCCCTGATTTGCAGCTCCTGGAATACCCAAAGACGACAATTTGTTTCAACCAAAATGAATTTCTGACACCAACAAAAGGTTTTTGATTCAATTCTTTACTGAAGGGAAGATGATCAGATAATATTACCCTAAAGCTGATGACATAATCTTCCTCTTTGTCAATGTAAAACGCGTTAACCTTGTGGAGTTCCCTGTCTAATAACAGGGTGAAACCCGTGTCCTGTACCGGCGAATTCCCCTCACTGCTTCCACCCTGTGAATATTTTCCATTGTCTAATCTTGACCTTTTCTTTCCATTAAAATGGGGATTCATCTGTTTCACTTGCTGCTTCAACGCCTTGTAAGACATAAACTTGCGTTTCCATCCTGGCAAGCTTTTTGCTACCTCAGCCCGATGCCTCTTTCCATGCTTCATCTCTTCTCCCTGTCAGAGTTTCAATGACTGATGCTGGTTGAAGCAGGAAGAGAAACATATATAAATACAACATTGGAAGCATATCCTATAGAACCCTAGGCAAATTATTCGCATCACCCGCAATATTCCTGAAGGCTGGAACCATGAAGATTACAAGGCTGATTGTAGAATATTCTTCTGATGCCATTTCCAAACTTGTATATTCCAGGATGCTAATGCAGAATTTGTATATTCAATCAAGAAGTCCACATCACTTGCTCCTCAAGGTCATCGAAAGACAATGAGATCCTAGTTAGATCCCAAATGTTTTCTGTTGTCTTACTCTTGACAAACTAGATAGACTTTTTCCTCTCCCCACATCTGTTTAGATGGACTAACCGATGAAATCCAAGAATAATACGTTACATTATCCTAAGGGAATTATAATATCACATGGTTGATTGATTCCACGAGACCATGATCTCATCAACTCAATGTAAAAGTTTACATCATGCATTCTTTGATGTGAACGCCCACATTAGGTTAATATCAATTATAATAATCTGAATTCAAACACAGTTGGTTCAATGCATCTTTTGATATCAATTGTAATTATCTGAATTCGAACATCACTGATTTAGTACCTTCTCGAGTTTGAATCATCAAAATTATTATTTATATCTGAATATAAATATTAAAAATAACTTCTTAAAAAATATAATTGATAAGTTACTTATGTGATTGAGTTAATACTAAAAAATACATTTATTAATTAGTTTATAATTTAATTCATGTAAAGATTTAGTAATATTGACTTCAATTATTGATTTAAAAAATTGATCGGACCAGCCAGTCAGACAAAATATTTATATATTATATTTCTTTGTCAATATAAAAATTTTACCACAAACCAATACTCATAAGCTCCATCCAAAATAATGGAATAAAAATCTGTAATTCTGATCAGGAAGCATGATAGTACAGTCGCTGGCATAGTAAACACAACAATAGGATTATGGTGCCTTTCTATAGAGTGCAAGACACTGAATTCACTGTCTCCGAATAGACGGATGGCAAGGTACCTTCCGGTCAAAACTCGGTTGGAGGCTTCAAACGTACTAACCTCCTTATCCTGTCTTTTTCTGTATTCTCCAGGTATCCCTTGAGAATAAAACAAAAGAAAGGTGGGGGGTGGGATTTGTCAGTAGCAATATCAACATGGAAAATGCAATAGGATACAGAGAAATGACAACTGTTAGGTGCCAAAAGGAAGTAGGTTGATACCTAGCATAGGTGCCAAAAGGAAGTGGGTTGCCACATGCTAGGTGTCATGGACCCAGAACAGAACCATGAATTCCATATCAGTTATGTACTAAAGTAAGACTAGATAACTAAGTGTCACACCATTTCAACCTACGAGACGCTTTTTGTGAGATAAAACTGTGAGACCCAACAGGGTCAAAGCAAACAATACCTTATAAGTTGGTGTAGAGCGTGACACTTGGTGAATTTGAGCTGTTCAATAATCATGGGCAGTGATAGGTCACAATTTCTTTTCTTAAGCCTCACTAAAGAAACAAATTTGAACACTAGGTATTGATCAATCAGAAACAAGGAGTTCTAGGAGACTTTTCTATCTTCTTATAATGATCATCAACCTCACAAATAACCAACAGTTGACACCAAAGAGGAAGAAAAGCCAAAATTATTGATAGAGATACCAACTTGTCACCTCACCTTCCAAATAATTTCATCCAAAGACAAGCATATCTTTCCGTACTTATCCAGGAAAAGGCGCTCCGTTGGTGGCTTCCCACATACATCCTTTACAGCTGAGGTTATAACAAAGATCACCTCTGCCACTAGCACAGAAACATTCAGGAGATAAATCATTACTAAATTCAAGCATGCAATGTGGTGCAACTCTTCAGTCAAAATGCACCTCAAATACCAAAGTGTAAACTTTCATTTCAACAAACGAGCGATTTTCATTTTAATTTACAGACCATTTGAATGGGTCACTCTAGGTCAAAAAGCAAGCTATGTTAAAGATAACTGAGAAGCCTAACTGACTACGAAAAGCATAGAGATTTGTGCATGTCAAGATAGGGAAAATGTATCACCATTTAATTGCAGATTATTCAAGAAGATTCTTTCAAGGAACCTAATATAGATCAAGCTTTCTCACTCGAAACAGAATATAAACCACATATTTTTGAATCAAGAAGTTTTTAGCTTCTTCCTGACCTTTCACAAACTTAGGTTGTATGTGTTAAGAATGCAAGATATACTTACATGCAAGTTCATCATACTCATCCTTGCCAACAACATAGACGCTGACATCTCCAAGCACGGTGTAAACAATATACACAGACCTGATAAAAGAACACATTTGCTCAGTTCTGTGAAATGATATCATGTAGTCAAAAACTAATGCTTTTATAATTGGACATTAGAACTCCCAACAATATAGTTCTAAGCCACAATTTTTCCTAAAGCGTCAGCTAAGCTTTAAGGTTGACAGAAAAGCTGATCATAACTATGATCTTGTGGTGCAGCATTGCTAAAAAATAGGCCCACGTGTAGAAGTTTAAGAAAACCTAAACAAGTTGCTGACCAGTTATCAAAGCTGCAAAAAAAAAGAGATATATTCTTTTATGAGTTTCAAATATGTTTGGACAAATTATGAAACTCTCTCAATATGTTAGGTCTTGGAGATTAAATAGTACCTTGCTTCATGATCGAGCAATAACTGCAAAAATGAAATCATGTATCACAATATATATTTCACTTTAGAGAATAATAGAAGTAGACTGTCAGCTGCATTTTTCTTAAGTCTTTGTTTACAAGGTGAATTTTCTCACGATAATCAAGTGTGTGGTTTGTACACTGATCCATTCCACAATCAACAAAGTCAAGAACTTTGTGCCCCTGATCAATTAATTCCTGGAATTAAACTAACTGCAGGGTAAAAAAAAATGCAAAAAGCAAAAAGATTAAAGCTACTGCACAAGGAACGTTTTTTGAATTACAAGGATCCTTGGCCCAGTCAACAAGATGTTTTAAGTAGAGATTATAAATCCTTTTATGCCAAAAATGGATTTCCTCTTACTTATCAGATCTCATAGACAAAGGGTGGAAATTTAGAAAAGAAAATCTAGTAAATCAGGCCTTTAGATAAATTGTTTATACTGTCCACTACTTGATAAATTCTAGTTACATGTTTACATTTGCATCAGACCCAAGAGAGAAACGATGTACTCATTGCTGGCTACATCCTTGTTGGCAAGCTTGGATCAAGTCAATAAGGATTCTAAAATCATAGCCCATGCATGTCCTGAACAGTTGACCATCAACGCTGTGCTGGTCACAGATTCATGGGTTTCACATAGTTCAATCAAGTTTTTTGTTTGTAGCAAACATCATTTATACCAGTTGGCCTGGTGCAAAATCTAAGTGATCTGATTTATACCATATTTAATCCTCCCAACCAATCCCAGAACCCAATCCTCATAGAATAATTCTAAGGCATTTTAAAGATGGAAAACATGCATCATAGCTACAAACAGATACTAAAATTTAATGGAAGAAAGATATTCATACTTGTGAGAAGCAACAAGCAGCTCTTCATTCTTGACACCTTTAAGATTATCTGCTCCCAGTTTAACCAGGAAAGATCTCCAATGCAGCCGTTCCTCAGCTGGAACTCCATTAAAGCTGCAACAAAACATAATCCCAGAGCTAATGTTCAATTATCTTATCAGGAAGAGATAAAAAATCAAGCTCAGCTGTCTTTTAAAAGCAACTGAGACTGCATGTTCCTTAAAGGACAGACTAATATTAGACAGCAATGATGACAAGTAGTAACTAATAAAGAAAAACTACTTCACTAATAACAGAGACTGAGGCCATTGCTAGTCGTAATGGAAGAAGCCTTGTGACTGAAAAACAGAAAATCATGGATAAAGTCCTAAGAGCAGCCACTTTATGTGGAAATATGATCAAAAGCTTCTTTTTCCATTAACCATTCTCCAGACCACCTTTGCAGAAACATAACTAGGTAATGACCCTTTAGGTGAGCACAAACCTCCCCTTGTGACATGGATGACCAGGACTACATGAAAAGCTGAGATTAATTACCAAGAATATTAAAATTGTGATCCTTGTATGATCTTGGTTTAACTTAGGACCTCAGTTGAACTTAGAATAGATAGTGTTGTCTTATTTTGTTTCTTAAGTTAACCCTTCATTCTTGTTCCAACCTCTAAAGCTGGCATTATACCTTCTGAACAACCACCACAAATCGTTCATTAGTGTTGTCCAAACCTCAATTCAAATTCATTTCAAAACTTTTCCCCTTCTTGCTTACATTAAATAATGGGATTCTTCTGGTATATAGGTATCACAAAAAAGATCACCATGAAAATGAATCATCCGAAAACCTCCCAGATGGACCTTATCATAACAGTAGCTGTTAATAATCAATCACCCATTTCCACCTTCTACCAAACCAAAATCAACCCAATTCAAATCCCATCTAGAAAGCACAAATAAAATCATTCAATTTCCATGAAAAAAATCCAATGACCCATTTAAGATCTGCCTCTATATAAAACAGATTCGAGCACAATAAACTAATTCAACAAACAAAAAGCCATCAAAGAGCATACCAAAACAATGGTAAAATCATCAAGAGCATTCAACGGCAAAACTGATATGGATACGATCAGGGAAAAAATGGAAGGGATAGAGATCTATTTCCCCTACCGTTCAACTAAGATGTTCCCTTCAGAGTTGGCGAATAACAATGCAAGTATCATCTCGATATCTCCCTCCCCTCAACCACTTCTTTCTTTTTCTCTTTTCTTTTCTGTGTTACGCAGACAGAACCGAAACGTTTGCTGTTGTGGACTTGTCGTCGTCATCGCCCCTTCATCCTTTTACCCTCTCGATTCGGGTCGGTGTCGGCTTTCGGGTCGGATAAATTCTAGTCCGAATTTTAGATACATCATGTGGTGGAGTGTGCAAATGAAAATGATTAGCTGGCATTAAAATTTATGAAAATCTAAAAAAATTAAATTTATTTTATTCATAAATATCGAATCGAATTATTAAAATTAACCGAATTGATCGAAAATTAAATTATGTCAATCGGTTTTAAAAAATAGGATTAAAGCAAACTTTTTACATGTTGAAGTAAATTTGACAATATTTTTAATAAATTCAAAAGCATGCAATAACATTTACATATTAATATAGATAATAATTAAAATTTTTATTTGTTTAAATTCGATTTTTCAATTTGTTCAGTCAAAAAATCAAATTGATCAAAATAACCAAATTATAAAATCAAACATTTCAAAAACTGTTAGAATTGAATCGAAAAAATCAAACTCATTTAAATTTAATTTATTTTTTCACTACAATTTTAACTCAGCTTTCACCTTATTTTAGTTTGTCTATACAGAACAAAAACAAAAGGTATTGTTCCTTCACATATATTTTTATTGATTTAATTATAAAAATGTTATCATTCAAAATAAAGCTCTAAGCATTTAATTTATAAATAAATAAATTTTCATAAATTAGTAGATTTTACCACTAACTTGTACTGTGTCAATTAAGTTACCTAGATGTGAATAGGATACAGGGACATAGGATCCACCCATTGTAGAACCCTAACTTGGCATCAATGCATTCAAGACAAATTAGTTTACCACTTCACATTAATGCCGTAAATTAACGATCTCTTGACATGTTGAAATAATTGCATGATCTTCGAATTTTGTCTATGACAATTGATAAGATTGCGATTTTGATCTTACTTTTTGAGTTGAGGGTTTTAAACGTTGAGTCTAATGAATTCTATTTTTCAAACATCATTTGCTCATTCATATGAATAAAATTTATAATTATGTAATTTTCAAATGAACGAATTTGAAATAATTACATGGTCTTCAAGGTGTTTTTTTTCTTTATGACAATTAACGATATCCTGATGTTGATCTTCCTTTTAAAATTTAGAATTTCAAATCTCGGCTTAATGAATTTTATTTTTCAAACATCATTTTTTAATTAAAATGGACTAAATTCGTAATTGTACAATTTTTCACAATTAGTAATTATGAATTTGGGCACTAGCATGATAAAAGAGACATTAATGTTTTTCTTGAAGGTGACCATGGAGAGGAAGTTGCTTGTAAAGTTAAGGATTTCGGATTTGAGGAGAGACCGAAACTTTTTTTAAAAAATTCATATTGAAATCGTCTGGTCCAAGAGTTTTATTGCCGTCAAGATCCCAAATCCGGCCAAATTTAAATTTTTCTTGTTCTAGGCAAAAAAAAAAAAAAGGTTTTTCCACAAATTAAATTGAGATATTATGAACAAAGTTGGTAGGAGTTTGATGAGCATGTGATTGCAATAATGGGACACTCACCGTTGCATGGCATCAACCAACTATCCTAGGAAGAATCATGGCTTGAAATTGACACTTTCCCATTGGTCTCCCCTGCATTTTTAGCTGTTTTGTCTTTAATGTTGTCTAGCATAAATTAAAAAGTCTACGGACTGGCATTAGCAAGTCCCGTAGCTGTCGTATTAACTATCACCCTTTTCCTGACTCAACATTTCAGAATGCCATTACCATAAGACATTACTGACCATGGTGTAATAGAACAAAGAATTGATGTACATAGAAAAAGGCTTACTCAGAGGAGGAAAAATAAGCAAAAAAGGATAATTTATCCATCTCAGATCCTGCAAGCTATTTACAGGCCTTAACCTTGAGTTGCAAAAAGCCTACCTTGCACTTCTTTTAAGTCGTCTGGATGGTTTGGTTTAGTCTGTATTATTCCCTTGAATAACCAACCTAGCCAGGTAAAAGGCTCATGGTTCTTGCTCAATTTTCTGTTCAGTCATGTGCTTTGGTACCTTTAATGGTGGAACTTACCATCAGGAATTTGGGTTACTGTCTGATCTGCCGGCAGCCTTGGCTGCAGTCAGTACAAAGAGAGCTAGAATCTACTCACAGCCTTATGGCCCTGGAGCAGATTCATTTGAAATTTAAGCTGTGTAACCCTAAATTAAGGCCCTAGGTCCTGAAGCAATTCAATTATTGATTAAAATTTCGTTGCAGCAGGTAGCCTTCTTTATAGTTTTAAGCTTTGCAGAGTAAGCTTTTAAAAAAATTAAGCATAGGAGGGCAAACAACCTAAGCTTAGTTGAGCCAAGTACATGAACACTTGCCTTATTATGAACTAACCCACACCACATTTTCTTTCCAATTTCTGTTGAGATTGGCATGGTCCATGTAAGCTAGCAAATGACATCTTCAATCGTTTTGGACGATGCATACAGGTCCCAGCAATCAATCAAAAGGATCAGGATGACTTTGATTGATGAACAAAAGTATACACTTTCAAATATTATTATTATGGAAGATGATTGCTGCTTCCTTTTGCCTTTAGCCAATAGGGAACTATGAAAGATAAAGACACCAAACCCCTTCTGCTACAATTTAATCTCCATGGAAAGTTGCTTCCTTTCTTCTTTCACCTAACAAACAATCAAATAAATAGCCAGCCTGGAATCTTTAAAAACTGCAAAACTGATGAATCAAAACACCCTCAGGCTTGAATCTGAAGAGAATTTCCTTCACATCAGATATTAATTGGCAGCTCCAGAAACCCTGAGATATGATGATCAATCTATTAGACTCAACATGGATATATTACTTTATTTTTTCTCTCAAACTAATCTCATTCAAAATGTTCATCTTCCTCTAAAGTTGGGCTGTCATTAGCCTAATCAGGGTTGTGGATTTAGAATAAATTTAACACCATCACTCAATGCTACTCTTTCAAGTTATGGGAAAAACTGTGTTAGCATTAATCTCCTCTTGCAGGTGTCTATATAGAAATCTAGAGTTCTTGAGGTCCTTTTTTGTTCCACAACTTTAGGGCTCACTATTATAATTATTATTTACCATAAGGGTTTTACAAAATTGTAGAGATGTGAAAATATTAAAAAACACAAGATTATATAGAAGTTTCGGCAGTCAAGTTAAAATTTATTCACAAGTGTTTTGTACTTTTTGTAATTTTTATATTTGTAGTTAATTTTTCTTTGTTGTTTGTGAATTTAAATAATAAATATCAAATCAAGTTAAATACCATTTTAAGTATAACAAAACAAAATCAATCTAATCATCCAATCTCCTTCATTTTTTGCCATTTATATATAGTTAAGGTTTTATGCTACTTTGGGATTTGACATTGCACATCATCATTAATTATTTGTTTTGCTTGACCTGAAATGATTCTATTTTTATTTATAATTTTAAGGAACAGATTAGGAGAACTAGATTCAACTCAAGCTAAAGAGAGTTGTATGCCTCTTTTTACTTGCAATAAATAACACACAATAAAAATATGTCATAATACTTTAAAAAATCCTTTGAAATATTTAAAAAAATAAAAAAATTATTTATTACGTTTCAATTAAGCTTTTATTTTTTGATTTTGGATAAGATGGACTTTTATATATGTCTAATGGTTGATTAACTGTAATTAGGTAAAACATCACTTATCATTTTTTATGTCACATGAGACTGACGTAATGTTGATATGGATAATGAAAATGTCAAATGTTCATGTTTCCGTATCATATAATATGTATCCATTATAATATATTACTATATCATATTAACTTCGGGTGATATAAAATGACAAGTGACATTTAACTAACATAAAAGGTTTGATTGAATATAATTTAAGAATAAGTGCTTATTTGAATTAATTTTCTTTAATAGTTTAAGAAATTTTTAAATTATAAAAAGTATAAATCAAATACGACCTTAAATGATTAAATTATTTTAATTTAGGTTTGATTTTGATGGTTTCTACTTTCTACCTTAGAAAATTACAAGAAGACTTGTCTTATTAAGATAATGATTACCATTCATTCTATTATATATGTTGAATTAAAAACAAAAGAAAATTAGTACAAAAATCTTAAAATTAAGTCATATCATCTTCTTGTATATACTAAAACATTAAAAAAAAAAAAAAGGGTAAACTGAAGAACATGATCTTTGTAGGCTATGGACATAAACAACTGAGTGAAATTATTAGATAAATTCAACAAATCATATCAATCATATGTAGAGATGTTGGTTAAAAAAGAAAATTATGTAATATTTATTTGTTGAATTATTTACTATGTAAATTAACATTGAAAAATAAAAAAAAATGAACTTGATTGATTTCAAACACATGGTTTAAAATATTTCAATTAAATCGATTAAAACTGAATAAATCAAATTAAGTTGATTAATTGATTTAATGTAAAAAGTTTGTCAATTCGATTAAAATATACATGGAGAGAGTTCGGTTAAATTCGTTACTATCATTTTTTATCGATTTAATTGACTTAACTGATTGTTCACATGATTAAAGCAAAGTTATTATATTAACTTGTGGATGCATTCATGTTTGAGATATAATAATTTTAAATATAAAAAAAAAGAATCGTGATTTCTTGGGCCTATATTTGAACTTGATGAGTCGAATTACTTGATAATAATTTCTCAATAAAACAACAAAAAATATCTATAGCTAACTGGTAGGAATATATATTATTGAATAATTTCTCCCTACCCTACATTTACACAATCACTAACTTTTTGTAATGACTGGAAAGCTAAATAGTAAAGCACAAGGGACGTGACAAGGACTTGAACAACACGAGCATGGAAGATCATGCGAATCTGATCATGTCGCTACCTAGCAGGTCAATTCCTATTCAGAAGTTCTTCTATCATCTGCAATGCTGCTTTCTGTTCCTCATCTAACCCATCACCAACTTCCTGTCCCATCATTTCACCTGGTTCCTCTGGAACCGGCCTTTTCTTATTGATCTCTGCGACTTCCCCGACATTTTTCTTTTCAAGCTCGACTGTCATGACCCAACTTGAATCGGGTCGAGCCCCTGCTCTCTTCTGCCAGACTCCAATGTGAGAATTCTCGGTGTCAAGCCTGAGGCAGGTTAGAGAAGGAGATGGGGTTTTGCAACATTTGCGAAGCTTTTCACTGAGGTTTGAAGAAAGCGCACCGGTAGCACCAGTGCTGCTGCTAGAAGCCGCGGGGTTTCCGTTGCCTGGTTGGTTCTTGGCTACCGGGAAGTTCGTCTTGGCGTTACGTCCGCTCATCAGAATGGCTGCCTCGTCATAGGCTCGTGCCGCCTCTTCGGCAGTTTCAAATGTCCCAAGCCAGACCCTTCTTTTCCTATGACATATGCGCAAAAATCAAGAACCAGTAAGTACTGATTATGAACATAGAAGGGAAGAAAACAAAAACAATTACTTGGTTTTGCAGATGAACATGTTGCTATGAGAACTACCCTTTTAGTCATGCAATTAAGCAGAAATGCAAAGGCCCAAGTGATATTAACTATGAGGGATTTAGAAGCCAAGGAAGAAGAGGAAGGGAGAACCAATCTTGGAAAATTAGTTAAACTATGTGAAAGGAAACTCAGTACGTGAACAGAAAATGAGATCCTATACACCAAAAAGCAGGAGTTGACAGAGAAAGATATGTTCAATCCTACAAAAGAAAGGAACCCAAACTGAAGAACAAAGGACACATGCAGGATTTCCGGTAGAAAAATGCTAGTTTATGTCAGTGAAACATAAGCAAACGAAAAGAAAATGAGAATGGAGAAATGGAATATATAGTACAAAACAACATATTTAAATCGGTAAATGAAGTAGGTTCGGAAAGGCTGCACAAGTGTTGGAGATATGCAGAAACAGGAAACATCCTTAAAAGGAGAGAAACAAAGGACTGAAAAAGGTCTAGGAAAATACAAAAAATGGATTGTCAAGAGAAGACGATTGAGGCAAATTACAGTAAAGGGTGACGAATCTCAGAAACCCAAGAGCCCCAGTGGCGCTGCCTGACACCTCTGAACTTCTTTGATTGTACCATGTTGCCTTTCACTGAACTGACTTATGATCTCTTTTTGTGTTCTGCTGCTTGTATGAGAGATAAGAAGGAGAGAATCAGATAGAGACGGCGAAGGCTGGGGGGAAGTGTCTTTAAAATGAGGAAGTTGTGGGATGTTGTAGATAATGTCCTTGGGGGCCTTACAACATTTAATTATTATCTAAGGATATACAAATTGGAGTGAAAATATGCTTCATAATTCCATAGGATAAATTACAGTTTGTGATTCACCTCATCTTTAAAGGAGTTAAGTGAGAAGAAAGAGTGAAAAAACATTAACTGTGTCGAGGAGTATAAGTGAAAATTACCAGATTCATACTTGCGCCTTGATGAGTTTGGGAAAAGGTTCTTTAATATATGTGGTCCACCATGGAATTGGGATATTGTACCCTTGCTGCCAGAAGGTTATGGGATCAACCTCTTTTTGCCCTAGGTAGGTTGCAAATACAATTATTGACTCTATTTTCCATTGTGGCTATGATTCTACAATTCTACCCTTTGGCACTGTAATGGGGACTTGGAGAAGACAGTATGGAACTAGAAAATCTCCATTGAAAGATCTGCAGGAATCTCAGATCATCCCAGGAATTCAATTCTTTTAAACAAATGATGATGATGATGATCTACAACCTACACACTACAAGAAATTTTATCTTCATTCTTTATGGCATAAGATGTGTCATTACATATTGCAATAGCTAGGTTAGTAATTAAAATTACATTTTGCAGCAAAAATACCATACAAAAAATTGTTCCAACCACCTTTTACATTACCTTTCAGCAATATACAAAACACTTTATGCGACATAAAGAATCTTATACCACAATAGGTGTTACAATCTAATTTGTACAACAGATGTGACCATTTGCAGTCATGACATAACTTTTTTTTTTTGTTGTTGCTATAATTCTATCACATTTCTTGCATTGCTTGTCTGGTTTTACCCCCCAATCTTAACGAGTAAGAAAAAAGAGAAAATGGGTTCACTGCAGAATTGGAAAAAGTATACTAGTTACAACAAAGGAGCATGTGTCTACCATAAATTTCCATGTTATAATTGTACTGGTTCTTCTAACTGATTGCTGGTTTCGTCATGGCATAAACATTACCTTATCTTCGAAAGGTGCTTGGAGAGTACTCCAAATGCTGTAGATTTTGACATCTTGCATACATTTGGAATGCATGTCATTTGGTATGTTCCTACTTATTAAATTAAAAGTTATAAGTATTTGAATATTTGGTACAAATGGTAAATGCGTGTATCAGTGCATTCCGAAAACTGAGATTGAATCTTTCCTTCTTCTAAATTGTACTTGGTCTTTGAAGGGAAAAAAATTGATAATCTTTGTACTAAGCTTATTTCTTGTTAATGTTAGTAAAATTCATGTAGATTTTGTTGTTTCTTTCTAAAGGTACTCCATCCATATTTTAAGAAGGATTTTTGTTTTTATATAATATACCATTACCATCAATTTCGATAAAAAATTATTAATGTTTTTATATAAATATCATCGTAATCAGGATCTATCATTTTCCTATTAAAAATTATAATTTATTTATAAATACATCAAAGTTAAAATTTTTGTTTCATAATCTCCTCCTCAGGAAGTACAAAGTAGTATTTAAGACACTAAGAAACGAAATTAACACTAGTAATCAAAACAAAATAAAAAGGCTTTCTATTTTGCATCATTTCTATAATAAATAATCCAAAAAGAAAAACACAACTTATGGCATCCGTAGCATATATATAAATTAATATAAATAAATTATTCTATATATCTTCTTTTGTGCATATATATATATATATAATATTGACTCATTGAGCATTATTTATATATGCTTTGAGTCAAATATTAATCGTTAATCACCACTCATCTTTAAACTAATCCAAGTGTACTTCTATTTTAGTTGGAAAAAATATTAAAAAAAATTCATAAGAGAATATTCCATGAACTATGATTATTTGTCTCTTTAAATATCCACATTCCATTTTCGTTCTTGCTTGTACTTTCTTATGATAAGTGAATTAATCGGGTAAGAGAAAAAGATTGTACTGAAATATAGTTTACAAGTCAACAAATATCACTTCCAGTCCAAGTCAGACAATTAATAAGAAAAATAATACATGTGATGTGTAAATAATAGTTAAATAGAGGTGTTCAAGGATTGAATTGTCGATTGGGTTTAAAGAAAAATTTAAGCTCAGACTCTAGTCCAGTTCAACCCAATTATATTATTTTTATTAATAAATATACTTTCATTTAATTTTTAATTTTTAATTTTTAAATTATTAATATAAAATAATAATTATTTAGATAGTTCGGGTTAGGTTTAAATTTGGTTTTACAAATGAGAGGTCCGATAAGCTCGACTCGGTCCAGCTCATGAACACCTCTATTACTGCACATTAAACTTTAAATAAAAATAATATTTTCTTTCTTGCATGGCCATGGTTGGGTCCTGCAATAATGGTGGCAATAGTTCCAAGACTAGAACCCTAGTGAATGGGATGCTTTAATTTGATTTAACATATCAAAGTTATTCTTTATATACGAAGTCGATGGAGATAAAAGAAAATGTGTAGTCTCTTATATGCATTGAAATTTCAAAAGTGCAAGTGGCATTGTATAAATCATAGAATTTACTTTACTATTAAATGTTAATCAAGGCATTTTTGCATCTAACCAAATCAATAAAGGACCTTCGAATAAGACCCAATGCCTCTCCATCACCTTTTAGCTTTTTTTTGCTATTATTTTTTGTGTAATGATCTGTCACCCCATTAATTAATTGGTATACCAAGTGTATATCTTATTATTTTATTTGTTGATTTATGTTTCTTATTGATTAGTATTGTTAATTTTAAAATAAAGTTTGGCTAAATAATTATACCCATTATGTGCTATGATGGTCTTCGTAGTTTGAGGCGGGAGGAAGCTTAAGGGGCTTAATGTCTTGAGAGCAAACACAAGAAGGGTTAATTAAGCTTAATTAAGTTCTGATTTTTGGACTCATAAGGTTGTGATTGTTTATAAAGCTAGAGGTAAATGCAAAGGGTAATACATAGAAAGACAAAGCAATCAATTTTTATGAGATTTAAATTATTTTTCCAGATGTCAATTTAATCGCTCTCAATAATTTAAAATGATCAATATAGAAGATCATTAATTCTTGCCAAATATATACAGTGATTTAATCATCAAGTAGGGCTATCTAAGGGTCGAGCGGGGGAAAGTTTGACTCGAACCATCCTTTTATATATTGTATTTTAAAATTAAAATTAAATAATAATATATTAGTATCTATTAATAGCATAATGCTTGAGTTGAGCCGAGTTTGTACTTAAAATTTGATACTCGAGAGCGACTCAAATCATAATAGGTTTACAAGTCTAAGCAAATCATAACCTTACATTTGAGTAGCTCGATCTATACTCGAGTACTACGTATCGTTTGGGGTTTTAAGATTACGATATTTGTAATGAGATAAGGTGGATATATTTGCAGATCATCCACCTCGAATCGTCATCAGCAGCATAATTTTGGTGGAACAATGCCAATTTGGCGAACAGTTGTGTAGATTGACCTGCGAGTTCTTAATTCTAACAAAGCCGATCCCCTTACCCCAACCCTTCAAAACAAGTTTACCAGCATATCAGAAAGGAAATGTTAAAACACCTTCAAAACAAAATAAAGTAAATAAAAATTATTGGTTAAATATTTAAACAAGCCTTGAACTATATCAAAAAAGTTAATTAAACTTTTATTTTTTTTATTTCATTCAAATGAATTCTTAAATTTTTATTTTAAATCGAATAAACTCATTTCATCAAAATAATATATTAACATGCCACATGGCAGATGACATGACATAAAGGTACTGAAAATGGTTTATTTGATCCAAAATAAAAAATTTAAGGACTTATTTGAATGCAATAAAAAGATAGTGACTTAATTGATTTTTTTGGTATAATTAAGAATCTTATTTGGGTATTTAACCAAAATCAGATTAAAACCACACTCAAAACAAAGCATAAAAAGCCATCAGCTAGAGCATTACTCTTTTGGATCTTTTCTTTTGGTAGGGGAGGATCTACATACAAAAGTTTCTTGAATATTAGTACAAAGTAATTAAAGCAATTACTGATATAGTTAGGAACCTTGATTGAGTTTTATTTCTTGGGATAATGTCTGGAAAAGAAAAAAACTGGAGATTTAATTGTCGGGTGGTCCAAATTATTAACCACCATATGAGTGACGCTTGAATGCAAACCTCTGTTTCTTAGCTGCATTTCTTGGGGCCCCATAATTTGTTTCTATTATTATGCTTAACAGCTGGATCTTGTATTTCCACCAGAAAGTTTGTCTGTGCCAGAAATTAAACTCTTAATGGAAAGTAAAGTTGGACTTTACTTCAATTATGTAAAAGGAAAAGAAGGGAAAAAAGGGTAAAATCTAGCATAGTTAATTGATTCCATAAATTATTAACACCAATATGTAAATCCTCCAAGGACAGTAATGTGCTTTCAAACTTTTACAACCCATATCTAGATTCCAATATAAATGCCCTTCCCTCACCAATAAGGTATTGTCTTCGACTCCTATTTAAGTCTCATCAAGTGTG